AAACAGCACGGCACCAAATGACACCATTGCTTTACCACTTGCCAGATGCCTCCCATCAATGCTTTCTTTTCTTTTTGTTGAAGAGTGGGACATTGTATGTGCAGTAATTAGTACATAACACTTTGGTCATAGAGATGAGTGTAAAGATGAGATATTAAAGTGTACAATCATTATTTTCAAATCTCCTAAATTTTTCTGTCATTCTGCTCCTACAGTTTAGTCTTTTGTATTGAGATGCCTGGAAGAGTGGTGGAGAGTTCTGAATCTTCTCTAATCCATTTCTTACAAAAAAGCAAGTTCACCACTTTATATATTTATTACTTAAATATTTCCAGATGCAAATTACCCCATTGGGAAATATTTTTAAATTATAGTTTAAAAAAATATGGAGGGAGAAGTTCAAAATATTAGGAAACATTCAATATGTGATAATGATGGCAAATGTTGCCATGACGATATAATTAAAGATGGAGTTTAAATATCATATTGCTTTGGGTTATTTGTAAATGTGGACCTCAGTTAGTTGGTTATTTACACACTGGAATAAATTAATAAATTCCTTCCTTCCAAACCAAACATAGTTTATCAAGAAAGTTCCACCTGCATCAGGCTGCAATCACCGTTTTGTCAATAAAGCATCTTTTTTCCATGTCAACACATCCTCATATTGAATTTATCAGCATTTCTACCCTGTAGACATTTTCTGCAGCACTATACAGCAACCATCACCAAATACTTTGGCACCTACCAAACATAGGCAACGTAATAACTATACTTACAGAGTATATTGCTTACAATTTATAATTAGCTAGAGTTTTTCTAAGTGGACTTTTGCTTTGTCCCATTACTAAATTTGTAATAGATTATGCAAGGCTTCTACAAACAGCCTGTGTGTTGAGCAGCTGACTGGATGGTCAACTACCAGAGCAGATAGTCCTACTAATTAAGCATATGCATAAAATAAAAATACTGAATAACTTGTATAAATGGGTATCAGAACTGCAATAATCAACGTATCAATATTTTAGAAGAAGCATGAATAATTGTATGTTTTCCCTATAATTAAAATCACATTTCAGTTAAGTTTTTGTACAGAGTGAGTGAGAATCTCATACCAATAATGAGAAGTCTGTATGCCTATCAGAAATGTGTGGTTCTTAATTAGATTTCACATAAAGTAGAAGACAGCTTATTTGACTTTGGCACCGACAAAACATGACCAAAATTGGGAGAGGGGAAAAAAAAAAGTTTTGCAAAATAGGCTTCTCAGAATTTAAATACACCCAAGAATTGACAAATTCAAAACAGGAAAACAAGACTTTTTTTTTTTTTTTTTTTGGCTGATCAGTGGAACTTTAGCTCATGTCCTAAGGCAGTGAGAACATTCCTCTTGTTGAACGGTCTCTAATTATACTATTTGAGAACAACAAAGGAAACTGTAGATGCTTTTTCCCCTTTTTGAGGTGCAGGTAGAATAAAGGACAACATTTCACTCAAGTATCCAAAGCAGCGGATTGTTGTGTGTGTCGAATACTTTTCAGCATGTGGCGTATTTATCAGTAAATTTTTTCTGGGGGAATTCTTTTAGAGTTTATATCATCTGGCTTGATGGAAAATATGTGTAAGGTAATATAGAGTTTGTGCTTTCCATGCAGCATATCTTATTTGAAAATGTATTTTTCCTCAATGTGTAATACTGCAAAGAATTAAAATGCATGCACTACGAGTGCGTGGAGTATTTACAAAATGTCAGTAATATTTTGCATTAAGTGGGTTACTTTGATTAGTATATTTTTGTTAAGCTAACAAAAAAGTGCAAATCTGTTTTGACTATCTTGGATTTTCTCTGTTTTATATAAAACACCTGATGCTCAGTGAGCTCAAGTACACTTTGTGAGTAGCTCCTCTTTGATTTGTCCAAAGTGGCAAATTGTTCAGAGAGGATTTGCAGTAATAGAAGAATCTCCCTCAGTGTGAGCTGTGTGCAATTTTGCTATTGACAAAATGGGCCTTGAGTGTTAAGGAACTCAACTGAATGATTTTTACAAAATCCATTATCCCGCTACTCTCGCTGCAGTGTCACCACCGCTTTAGATTCTTGGCAGACAATACAGCACTCATTGCTGTTTCCTCAATTCTGCATTAATTGGAAGATATTTTTTTCCTTCTATTTTTTTTCTTTTTTTCATTTCATAAGAAAAAAAAAATCAGATTTACCTTAGAAATAGTTTGATTTAAAATAAGGATTTCTAAAACATACTGATTAAAAAGAAAAGAGGAGTTTCACCAATCACTCAGCCAGGCACTTAACTCTGCTTGTTTTATTCGGGATTGGCTCCAACAGTAAAACACTTTTTTTCTCTTGTTGGTTAGATCAGCCAAAACTGAAAACTTCTCTTTTTTTCCCAAGAAAAATCTTAATAAGGTAATTGGCATATACTTCAATGTATACATAGCAATAAGCATTATTTTGAGCATTCGTTTTTTCTCTCTCTTTTATTTGTTCTTCAGAATAAAAAATAAGAATCCATCAATATTGGAATCAGCTGATTATCCCTCGAAGAAAACCAGAAATCAATATCTGCCAGGAAATCCTAATTGGTGGATCTCTGTTAGTTTGCTTAGTGAAAATTCATAAATTTGTTACAAATGCAATTACAATACTAATCTTTTTGTTTTACAGATTATATGTTCTTAATAATTCCATTCAGTTGCAATCCATTAGGATTTGTTTTTTTTTTTTTGTATTTTGATCACCATATTTTTCCCCACAAGCTTATTGCCTCAGGCTTATTTCCCTTCAGTCATTAGCTTGGATGGTTGACAACAATGTGAGCCACAGCACAGATCTCTTTGACTAAAACCTTGTAAATTAACACAATTAGTGCAGCATCATCCTGCTAATTAGCTGCTGGTGTCTAGTGTGGCTGGTTGGCAAATGGCTGGGAGGGAATCGGAAGGGAATTCACAGACAAACCATGCGTTTGTAATCTGCCTCTGGACACTAGCTGTTTTTCAGTTCGAATCGTCTGATATCTGCTTAACCCGCTGAAGTATAAAGTATAGCGTCATGGTGTCAACAGAACAAAGAGAGGGACATGTTTGGATCATTCTCTCTCATGTGTCTGCGTATCTCACTCAGCTTAATGCTGATGAAAGATGCACAAGACTTTGTTCACCATTTCAAATTGTTTTGAGAATTAATCTCCCGCAAACTGTTCTGAGGGAATATTTACCCATCATCCCAGAATAAAGAAGCACAGCTAGACGGAATATTTTTTTTATTATTATTACTTGCAGATCGACTTTAGGATTTAACTTCATTATTTCTGTCATTCAAACCCTTTTAGGCCTCATATAGAGGCTGAGCGAAGCTGCGGAGAAAAAGACAAGTGAAGCTTGTTTTTTTTTTTGTTTTTTTCCCTCTTCACTCTGTCGGGTGGGAAGCAGTAGGCAGACTCGATGTGGATGTAATTCATGCTGGGCTGAGGGCTTTGTGTGATGAAAGCAACAGAGCGCTGCCAAGGAAGATTGCTTTGCTGCTCTCCTCCAAGCAGATTTGAAACTGTCTCAGAATGCCTCAGATGAGAGTTGGATTATAGACTGACCTGCAATGTCTGTGTCATTCTGCTCTGCATTGGATAGATTATTCCATGGTAACCAGGTGTTGGCTCCAATATCCTCATGCTGACCATTAAGTTAGTTGTGTATGTCTGTCTGTATATTTAAAATTAATGCACTCCAGCAGCTTTTAGTGTTTTAATCTCAACAGCTTGGGAAAAATAAAATGTCTTTCTTTCTTCTTTTTTTTTTTTTTTCTTATTGTTAAATGGGCTTGGGAGTAGAACCACACTGCCCTCCTAAACATGTTGCTGTGTATTGTGGGTCAAGTTGTGTAAAGAAGGCTAAAATTTTCCCTTGGTTACCTAAAACAACTAGCTTGGCTGTTTGTAATAATTTTTCATCTTAAAAAGCAAAAACTATGGCTGCAAGCTAAAAGCAACTACAAACTATAAGAACGGTTCTACTGCACATAGCCTACTAATTATCAACCTACTGTTTTTTTTTTCCTTTTAAATATTAAAAAGGTTTAAAGGTTTAATAAAACAGTTTAAATACAATATAAAAAAAATGAGACTAACATTATCAATACACATTTAATATACTCATACAACCAAGCAACATGTTTTGGTTAGGGTATAAGATGTACATTTCTCAAAAGATAATAAAACAATGTCAAATGAGTATTGTTTTCTATGATATTATTTAGCCATGTATTTTGACAATGGCACACTGAGAATTATTCATACTCTTCATAATCAATTGAAAAACCTTTATTTGCATTCCAATTAATTGTTCAAGTTATTTATTTACCAAATTCAATATTACTTCTCCTGGGAGTATTAATTATCTGCCTTAACCGCATAGTAAAATACGCAACAGTCATTTAAAGTAAACAGTTTCTAATTCTACTTTATTGCACTACTTTATGCATTTATTAATCAGAGACCACTGCAATGTTTTTCATGTTTTACTGACTACTATTTACACACAAAAGCAATTTCAATTTCATCTTTGAACAACACAATAATTGGAAAGATTCAGAAATCAGCATTGGCATAGTTCAACAGACACCGGAATGGAAAGGCCATCGTACAGTTAAGGGATCCTGATTTATAAAAAAATAAATAAATAATAATGAATAACAGCAGCTTGTAATTTTTTCCAGAGCTGTATTAGGCAAATTCCTCAAAATCAAAATGACAATTATTAATCATATATACATGCATCAGTTGGTATAAGTGTTGTTTTTTCTGTCTCATGTTAATTAGATGATCTATAGATTTCCATTTCATAGTTTTGCTTAAATACCAAAATATCATAAATTGTGGTATTTCTGCTCAAGGTTATAATGTGAGAATCTCATACCCACTCATGCCCATTGTGGAAAAAAATGAATGCTTACGTTGACATATTTCTTCCTTATGCATACTGTCTAGGTCTAAAGATGCAGTGGACCCCAGAGCACACACAATGGGCAGAACAACACTTTGACATCTCATCCACTACCCGCTCCCCAGCACACAAAGTGGAGGCCTATCGGGGGCACTTACAGCGAACATACCAGTATGCGTGGGCAAACGATGACATCTCTGCACTGACTGCCTCCAATCTGCTCAAGAAATATGCAGAGAAGTACTCTGGGATCCTAGAAGGCCCAAATGAGAGAGCCCTGCTGTGTGCCTACTCCGATAGCTCCAGTGGACTCGTGAATGGACGAAAGTCGGAGAATGAGTCCTGGCAGGAGGGGATTTACCCAATGAACTGTGCTCCAGATGTTATATCTGTGAGCAAAGCTGGAATGACAGCTGCCCTCCCCCCTACAGACGTGTCTGCGAGCATAGGAAGCTCCCCAGGGGTGGCAGGCAGCTTGTCTGAGCCTAGCTACTCAAGTAGTAACTGTGGGAGTCATCCAGCCACCACTCTTCACTCGGGCCTCCCCTCTCAGGAATATACTGCCAGTTACAATGGCTCTTACCTGCATTCCAGCTACAGCAGCCAGAGCACCCCCGCCCTCCCTTCCCCTCACCCCTCTCCTCTCCAGAGTGCTGGGCTTCTACAACCCCCTCCACCTCCACCTGCTTTAGTGCCAAGCTACAATGCTGGGTCTCCCAACCTTCCCAACTACAGTTATCCTCCAACAGGGTATGCTTCACAGACTGCCGTGGGTCCTGGGTATAGCCCTGGGGGAGCCCCACCACCACCTTCTGCTTATCTACCGTCTGGCATTGCAGCTCCCACTCCAATACCTCCCTCCACTTTGCCTGGATACACCTACCAGTCTCATAATCACACACCAATCACACCTACACCTTTGAATGGCAGCTCGTCCAACTCATTAAAACGAAAAGCTTTCTACATGAGCGGACATGGAGATGTGGACTCAAGCTACGGTAATTTCAACTACAGCCAACAGCGCTCCTCACAGAGCCCTATGTACAGAGTAGCAGACAGCAGTGTCTCAGACTCGAACAGGGGCACTGGCTTTGAAAGAAACACCGAGCCATCGTCTTTAGCTTTTAAACCAACTAAACAGCAACTGGCTTCTGATCAACAAAGAAAATTTAACGTGCACTCTGGCAGAGCGCTAACTCCTCCATCTTACGGATCAACCAAAAACTCTGCAGGAGATCTAAGAACTGGCGAGCCCTACAGCAAGTTTGGGTCTCCAATCATGAGCGAGCAAACTGATGAGCACAGACAGCACCTCTCCCACTCCCTTTCAGGGCCTGATTTAGGAACGGCTACCTCGTCCATCCATGCTGCAGAGGAACAATTAAAGAACAGTGATTCCAACCTGGTGGAAATGGTCAACACGGAAATCCTTCAGCAGGGCTCTCCGGTAGACTGGACTGACATTGCAGGTCTGGATATGGCCAAATCAACTATTAAAGAGGAGATATTGTGGCCTATTTTGAGACCTGACATGTTTAGCGGACTTTCCACATTACCTCGGAGTCTGCTATTGTTTGGACCTCAGGGAACTGGTAAAACGCTACTGGCACGCTGCATGGCCAGCCAGCTGGGGGCCACTTTGTTGCGGCTGAGTGGTTCAGCACTGGTGACCAAGTGGCTTGGAGAAGGAGGCAAGATTATCCAAGCTTCTTTCCTTGTAGCACGCTGTCGCCAACCAGCAGTAGTCCTAATCAGCGATGTGGATCTGCTGCTGTCTGGCCAGCTTACCGAGGAGAGCCCTGTAAATCACCTCAAGGCTGAGCTTCTCATCCAGCTCGATGGTATTCTAACCTCCGCAGAGGACCATGTTCTTGTGGTCTGCTCCACCAGTAAGCCAGAAGAGATACCCGAGACCTTACGGAGGTACTTCACTAAGCGTTTGCTCATCCCATTGCCTGATGGAACCGCACGCCATCAGATAATCAGCCAACTTCTCTCGCAGCACAACTATTGTCTCAGTGACAAAGAAATTTCATTATTGGTTCAGAGGACAGAGGGTTTTTCTGGACTGGATGTAGTCCAGCTGTGTCAAGAGGCTGTCGTTGGCTCTCTCCATGGCATTCCTGGGGCTGACCTTCCCAGCATCCATCCCAGTCAGATGAGACCAGTCGCGTACCAAGACTTTGAAAATGTATTTTGCAAATTCCAGCCGAGCATATCACAAAAAGAGCTTGATGTGTACACTGAGTGGAATAAAATGTTTGGCTGTAGTCAGTGAATGGAACCAGTTAAACACAGTTTCCTTAAAATGTGCTAAGTAAAAACAGTGTTTGGTTCTTTTCAAACAATAAGAAAACAGTGGTGATATCAGCATTTTATCTAGAGTTATGGAAGCAATCTGGACATCCCACAGTGTTACGTGCTTATTAAAGTAAATTTAAAAGGATGCCCCACTTTTTTGTATATAAATATACAAATATATATAGATATAATGCTGATTTTGAGATTTTGTTGCTATCAAGTGCCTGAGATGGTGCTGTTTAAGTTTCATTTTGCCTCACAATCTTCATTGGTGGTGTGCTTATATAAAAGAGCTTTACAATGTGAAAGAAACCTTTGTTTTTTTTACTGCAAAAAGTGTTCAGCTTTGTCTGTTTTGTGCTCTCCGTGAACTGTTGTGGTTAATTTCAGCTGAGTTAAATTGATTGGCAGAATTTTCCCTGAGCATAATTACCTTGCACAGGTTTTATGTGTGCATGTGATTTATTTAATCATAGCAAAATGGACATGCACATATCTTTCAAATTGTGTTTGCATTAAAGACTTAAATTTGGTTGCAGTAGCCCTTCCTTGGTAGGTTTGAGGATAAATTGGTCAATGTGATTTCAGTTTAAATTAATGCTCTCTAGAACTCTTAGGATTTGTGATAAAGATGTGTTAAAAGCTTTAAAATATATTTTTTATTGGAGGAGGTTGAAATGATAATGAAATATTTTTGCAGATCCCATATTATATTTTGAGTACATTAATTTAATAAGAAATAATAGTATTAAATCCCCACTGCTATTGATGCCCTTTCTTACATTACTTTTTAAACCTCATTTGCCAACAGGAGAGCACTAAGGGTGCGTTCACAATTTCTTAAAAGTGACTGAATAAATTTACTCAAGTTGGATTTTTCTACATTTTGCAATGTCTGATTATGCTATTGCAGAACAAGATTTATTTATTTTAAGGCTTTTTGCACATCTTTAAGTTTGGAGGTTGTTAGTTGTGAAATTCCTAAAAATATTTCTACAGCTAATTACTAAGAGTAATTCACACATAAATGTTGTACTATATTTTCCGTTTTCTTTTTGAAAACTCAGGAATGTGTTGGTAATATGTACTACTAAGCTTGTATTAAAATACTACATGTGATAAACATTTGCCTCACATTTAAAATTGCATCATTAAAATATAAAAGGTTTTTTTGGTAGCTCAAGAATCTCAAGACGAGAAGGTTCCTGCAGTGAATGTATGAGGAGATAATTATGGTTTATTTGCAAACCTTAAAAATCAATTTGTTTAGGATTCTCAGCTTTTATTTATTTTTTAAATAGAATTTGGTATTGCAATTACGGGTTTGCCTTTGGAAATAATGGCCCCATTGTGTGGGTGAAATTGCAGCCTTGAGCTAATACATTTTACATTTTTGATTTTTTTTTTTTTTTTCTTATTTCCTGCTGGCTGCAAAGTCAGAAACCTTCACTTACAACAGATACAATGATCCCGTTATTTTAATCCCAGCTTTGAGATTAAAGTGTTCAACTTGTGCCGAGAGAAATTTAAAAATGCAGACAAACATCTCAAGGTTGAGCGAGACAGCTGATCCGTTGCCTCCTGTTGCCGTTTTTATCGTTCATGAAAACCCAAGGATTATGTACAGTGTAAGTTCCTTTGTACCTTATGTTTATCTCTGAAGGACAAATTCACAGTGACATCAAAATGTCACAGCTTGCCCATCTTATTTCATGATGATACCCAGCTAAAAACAAAAAGTATTTTTGTGTAAAATATGCTTTACATTTATATTTTTTTTTTGTTGTTTGTTTTTTTAATGGCACACTTTGCCTTTGCCTTAGGACAATTTGGTTTTATCATATTATTTTCAGTGCCTGGCGTTGTTGCTGTACATTGTTTGAACCCTGAACCTGCAAAATCAGAAAGATGTTACAGAAACCCTAGTGATTCTGTGTTCATACTTTGTCTTAAAGTCTTTCAATAAGAAGTTTACACAAGTGATTTTACACTTTTCTTTATCTCAAATTCATTAATTTAGTCGCATTCCTTATATTCTAAACTCACAGTTTTCGTACAAAATACCACTTATTTTTCCTCCCATATTTTAAACAGTTGCTCTATTATTAAACTGTTTGCTGCCAATAATTGCTAAATTTCCATAGAACATTTCCAACAATGTATGAGTCAGTCTGAAAGCTTAATTGGCAAGTAAAAGCACTGAATGTATTATAATGTGAGCAAAACACTCACACTGAAACATGCCAGAGGAGAAGAGGGCACTGTTTGGGTACTTGTACAGAAACTGCAGAGGCACTGACAGACTTTTTTTCCTTGTAAGAAGGTGTCTTAATACAATATTTCTTGATGCTTTACCGTATTTCAATCTTCTATCAAATGCTAAGCATTTTCTCATTGAAACATGGCTGGAACCAATAACTTCTCAAGGTCTGGACTTTTAAAGAATTTCCACGACGATGGCACAATTTGAGAAAGTTATTCCTTAGTCCAGAGTGATACTTGACTCTACTTTTACATTATGTTGAATGCTTTATCTGTATTCCCAGTTATAATATCTTTGCTGCATTATCTTTAAAACTGCACAAGTTTGTCATTTGTAAAATGATTATTATAAGTCTGTATATGAAGAGACAAGTGTGTGTGTGAATTGAGTGCCTATATGTTCCCTTAAGGGTGTGGGTCATTTATTTGAGTCCTGATTACCTGCTGAGTCAGATTTTTTTAGCTAAGAATCACATTGCAAAATTTTCACAAATAATTACTCTGGAGTTTTTTTTTTTTTTTCTGCATAGAAATAAATCTCCCAAATTATGTCAAGTGTGTCATGTAGAGTCACATGTTAAAATTGTTTCAGAAATCATGTAGACACATAGTCATCCTGAAACATTCAGATGGCAGTGGTTCCAGTTAGATGATGAACATTGGTTTATCATTTATTGTTTTATTTTTAACCTGGAATGAAACTAAAATCCTTTATTTTCTTCTGTGTGCCTCCTCATCAGCTTGCACCCTCACTGCCATTTCATCCCATTTTGTACCACTGAAAGAACTACTATATTCTGTACCCATGCACTGAAACCATGGTGGTGATTTATTTGTGATTGCATCTTTGTGTTTTCATGAACCATGAAGATAAATCATCATCATACCACTTAATACACCTGAATCTTGCATAGAATTAAAATTAAATTATGTTTTACCTGAAGATGTTTTATGTTCTATTCACGATCATGTTGGTTCTAATCACCGTTTGAGCAGGCTGACTCTTATTAAACCTGATGGAATGCAACTCTAGATTAAACTACAACTCCTTGAAACCGCCTGTTGGTAAATATTGCTTATTGATTTTTTATGTTCACCTTTTCTTACAGTAGACCACACAGATCCTATCCATATAACTCGGCAATACTGTAGTATGAATGCAAATATTTCTAATTGGTTTTGCATAAAACAGCTTACCACTTGTAGCTTTAAAACAGCATTACCTAAATAAGAGTTGTGGTGGCCACAAATTGACCTGTGATCGTTACAAACAGTCCAGTAGTAAAAGGGTCAATTTATCCCAAAATTTGCCAAGGCTTCAAAATGTAAAGAAGAAAATTGACCAGAACCTATTACATTTTTTCAAAATAATTTATTAATTGGTGTTCTTGAATTTTCAGTGCTACCTTTGTGTATTTACAAAAAACTGCAAACATTTTTAGCAATGTCTGTCAATAGTGGAAACTTGTGACGATTATTAAAAACGTAGTCAATCAACAGTTTACAGCTTTTTATTTGAGCACAAACTGAAAAGCATGAATGGCACAAAAGTCAGAAAATGTCTGAAAATACAAACGTCTAACTGTAGTGGGTTGGGTTGTTATTTCATTTAAAATTGGGCATTGAAACCATGAGTTGGGTGAACAAGCACACATCTTACAGGTTCAAGAGCTCAGTGGTGAATCAGAGATGTGTGGTAAAATATATCAATCACCGGTGATATCATGGATATTAAAAGATCTGGTCCCGTCCAGTAAAAAGAAGTTTACATACACTGCATAAAAAGACACAACCTATTTCTCATTGTCTGACATTAAATCACACTTAACTTTTCTTTGGGTATCTGGGGTTATCAAAAATAATTACTAATTTCCTGTCAGAATAATCAGAGTGATAAATTTTTTGAAGATATTTGATTAACTTTTTTTTTTTTTCAATTCCTATGTTTATATACAGTGGTGTGAAAGTGTTTGGCCCCTTCCTGCTTTTTTTTTTTTTTTCTCCCATGTTTGAAGTGTTTCAGAACAAACCAAGTTAAGCATCAGACAAAAACAACACAAGTAAACACAAAAGACAATCTTTAAGTTCTTTATTATTATGGGGAAAAAAAAAAAGAACAAAAAAAAAAAA